GCTTGGCGGGGGGCGAGCGGGAAGACCACCACCACCACCAAGAAGAAGGAGGAAGATGAAGAAGATGATGACGACCTGCTCTTGGCAGCGGCGGCCGCCGCGGCGGACCCCAGCCCGGCGGGGGGGTTCTGCTCGGCGGCGGGTTCCATTTGGATCTACCCCACCAACTACCCGGTGCGGGGCTACCAGCTGCGGATGGCCCAAGCCGCTCTGCTGGCCAACACGCTGGTCTGCTTGCCCACCGGGCTGGGGAAGACCTTCGTGGCCGCCGTCGTCATGTACAATTTCTACCGTTGGTTCCCCTCCGGCAAGGTCCTCTTCCTCGCCCCCACCAAGCCGCTGGTGGCCCAGCAGATGGAGGCCTGTGCCCGCGTTATGGGCATCCCGGCCCGGCACATGGCGGAGATGACAGGTAGGGACGGGGAGCTCGGGGGGGGTCGCCTCAGGTGTTCGCCGTCGGGGCTGCTTGGCTTAAGCAGGGTGAAAAGCTGCATCGGAAGACAGAAAAGTGTCTTGTTTTTTAGGGTGAGAAGCTTTTGAGGGGTTACCTTTAGTTTTTTGGCCATTTTTTGGCCCCCAGGTTTAACTTACACAGCTGTAAGCCCGATGGAGTACTCGGAGGTGTTTTCTGGAGCTCTGGGGTGCAGCCCACGGAGCCTTGGGGCTTCCCCACGGAGCTTTGAACGCTTGCACAGAAAATATAGACTCTGCACGGAACTTAAGACAAAGGAAAATGGCTTTCCCCCCCCTTTTTTCCTAACCTCATGAACTGCTTACTGAATAACAGCCTTAATGACCGGCTCCCTTACCTGTCCCTAAGCGCAGGCCTCTCTCAGAGGGGGGGTGGGTTTGGTGTGGGGCTGGGGGAGGGCCCATCTTGAGCTTTCTAGCCCTTTTTTCCACAGTTCTGGATATAATGTTTTATGACAAAACATCTTCCTAGTCATTGTATTTGCCTTTTCTTCCTAAAAATGGGAATAGCATCAAGGTGCATGCTCATTTCTCAAAGCCGACCAGCCCTGTTGGCCTTCTGCTGTCGCTCTCAGGTCATGGTGTTCTCTTAACAGTTTGCTAACATTATTTCTTTAATTTTCAGGGGGAACCCAAGCCCTCAGTCGGAGGGAACTGTGGACGACCAAGAGAGTCTTTTTCCTTACACCTCAAATAATGGTGAATGATCTTTCCCGTGGGACATGTCCTGCTGTGGAAATTAAATGTCTGGTTATTGATGAAGCCCACAAAGCCCTTGGAAATCACGCCTACTGTCAGGTAATGCTGGAGTCACCGTGCTCTTGCCTCACGATTGCAAAAACACCTCCCCCCAAATCACTTACAGGATCTCCATAAAGTGTCACTGTCATCACGTATGTTCTTAGCTTTGTTTGAAGGATCAAACAGTCCTCTGCATCATCAGTGCCTTGTTTTTAAGTAAAACCTGTAGTAAAACTTGGTAAGGTGAGGTGGGAACTGTTTTTGTCTGAATAAAGTAATTTTTGTTTCAAAATATTTTTCTGACTCCAGTAATTAAAAAGGCACTTGTTTCTTTCAGATGTGTTTGTATTTGCAGGTGTTCTCTGGTGTGTTTGTGCTGTGCTGGAGTAGCTCGTAAATAGGGGAGGTATTTTTTTCATAAGGAAGTGCAGCTTTTGTTTTGGTAAAGTTCTTAGTAAAATGAGTTCGAGATTTCTTTTTGAAATTGGAGTTTGTATGGATTAGAAAAGTTTGTTGGGCTATCGTGGCTTAACCTGCTAGCAATAGGTGACCTAAAGGAAAGTTAGTCAATTTCTCTACTGGAGAAATTGACTGAATACACATGGAGTTGCGTACAGATCCTGGTTCCCATTTGGATTTAGACATACTCTTGTTAGAGTATTTTGTTAAGCCCTTTCTGCTTAGTGGATATTTTCATCAGTATAGTTTGTGTCAGCAAATAATCTCCCTTATGGATATTAACGGGCTCTTTCCTGTTCTTAGGTTGTAAGGGAACTAAGCAAATACACAGATCAATTTCGGATCTTGGCCCTGAGTGCCACACCAGGCAGCGATACAAAGGTGAGCCAAACCTACTTGCGTGGTTGGAATAATAAAGTTTCAGTAGAAGCTGTGTTTAATAACATTCCATGCAGTTTGAACAGTGTGCAGGACACTGGAGTCTGGTAGAATGGCACAGAAAAACTGAATCGGTCCATCAGTTGGGGAGGGATTGTCTTTTTTGTGCTCTAGACTTTGTGTAATTTATTTCCTGACCGTCCTAAAAGGAAGTAATACCTGCTGTTTTTTGAGGATACAAACCCACTTAACCCAAAAGGAGTATACTCTCAGTGCACAATGGCCTTCATAATCTGTTCAGTGTGCTGTCTTGGGTTAGTGTAATTCCGGCTGATGTTTTCGGTCTGAGGCAGATGGACAGCCAGATTCAGAGGAAGCCCTTTGCTCCAGGTTACTTCTCAGCAGGGATTTCATGGTGCACCCAAAAAAAAGGCCCAAGGCAGAGTTCTGTCACTCCAGCTCTGGCACAGTAGCACCCTTTTTGCATTCAGGGACTTACCATAGCGACTCTTTAAATACTAATTGAGATCTTTAAGTGGAGAGTCTTTCATTTTTCATCTATAGTCAGTAGGTACCTTTTCCTTTCAGTTATATTCAAGGCCTGCTAAAATACGGATATAGTTATTTTCATCTGATATTCACTTGCATTATCGGAGTGTTAATGACCAAATGTGTTATTTTTTTGTGGCTTCTCAACCAGGCCGTGCAGCAAGTTATTTCCAACTTACTCATTGCTCAGATAGAACTATGTGCTGAAGATTCTCCAGAAATTCAGCCTTATTCTCACGAGCGACAAGTGGAGAAAATTGTTGTTCCACTGGGTGAAGAGTTGGTAGAATTTCAGAATGCTTACATCCAGGTGAGTTTTTGCATCTCAGGGCATGCTCTAGTGCCCAAGATTATTGGTTTGTGGTGGGGTGTAGTGTGTGGGGTTTAGTTGGTGGGTGGTGGTTTTGGGTTTGTTGTTTTTGTGGTGGTTGTGTGGTTGGTTTTTTTGTTTGTTTGTTTGTTGTTTGTTTTGTTTTTTGTGGTTGGACTTGATGATCTCGGAGGTCCCTTCCAACCACTAAGATTCTGTGATTCTGTGATTTCCTTGTTGTTAAATGGACAGTGTCACTGAATATGTGATCTCCCCGTCTATCCAACATCCCTGTCTAGACCAGCAATGATTTATAAATGTAACACTTTGTTGCAATTAACTTTGCCTTTGGGGCAAAGAGAGAAACATGGTTTCAACTACGGCAGCTGCTGTCCCACCTTGCACCAATGATACCTGTTCCATTGCAATTGCTTAAAAAGCTCTGATGGAAAACTTACAACTTCGTTTTCTCATCCTCTTTCAGGAGTCCTTGCAAAAGTGACATGAGACCTAAACTGAGGGCTTCTTAATTTGGCTGAATTTAGTAGTATTAAGATACTGAGAATGACCCCACTTGTGTGGTCCTGGTTATTGCCAGCCTTACGAAAACTGTTGGCTGAAGCTTTTTCTCTGATTAAGAATATTCTTTAGAGCTTTAAGTTGTCTGTCAGTGTACTTAGTTCTCCTTGATGTCTTTCTTTTGTTTGGTCGGTTTTGGTTATTTGGGTGGGGTTTTTTTTCCTTTTTTCTCTTGAGCTTTTTTCTCTTCTTTTTTACCAGTAGGCAATGTCCAAATCCAGGAGAGGTTAGCAGGGAGCAGAACCATTAGCCAGTCAGTGATGACTGAATGGTCTGCACCTTCTCTGTAAGGTACTGAGAGATCCAGGTACTGGATATGGTATTCCATAAGACACAGCTTTGAAAAGTTTGAAATGTTGCCCAGGGAGGGTGTGGAGTCCCCTTCTCTGGAGATTTTCGAGCCCCGCCTGGATGCTCCTGAGTGATGTGCTCTGGGCAACCCTGCTTTGGGAGGGGAGTTGGACTAGATGGTCTCTAGAGGTCCCTTCCAACTCTGACAATTCCCTGATTCCTTATGTGCTTTTGTTTTTGGTAAGAGACACAAAAAAATGCAGGATTAAGTTAGTATCAGACTGTTGACCTTAGATTGTGCTTTTGCTTAAAGCTGAATGGTTTTGGTGTTTCTGTGAAGACCACTGGAAGGCAAACTTGTTCGTTCATTTTCTAGATTGAATTGGTTCACCTGTTTCCAGTCCAGTAACCTGAGTGTGTATTTAAATGAGGAAGTTCCACTGTGGAGCTAGCAAGAACTTCAAAGATAGTTTTGCATCACGTCAGGTGCCTCTGGATGCTCCTGTTGAGTGCAGGGATTTAGTCTGAGGTGTTTCACTTGAGATTTAAGCGGAAATAGGCAGATAGGTTTGGCTAATCTGGTGCAGTTGAGGAATATAGACAATTCTGGACTAAACTCTCACTGTGCCTTCAGTGGTTTCTGTTTCCCCTCTTTGATCTGGTATTTGTGTTTGTATTGCTAGTGCTTTACTTAGGAAACAGGATTTGTAGCAACTTGTGACCTCTGCTGATCCCATGCAAAGGAAAGGTGGCGAAAGGACTCGTTGTGTCTGTGACAAAAATGAAAGCCAGGTGTACTCTGCACAATAAAATCATTCTCTTTAATTTGGACAAACAGCAACAGTAAACAAGACAACATTTCAGTGAAAATGAAGGACAGTGTAAAACAGCACAACGCAACAATGCCGGCAAAATTCTGTTTATATTTGTATACATAGAGTAAGCAAGGCCCTGAGTATCACAATAGCTGGAATCAACTTTTTAGGCACTAACGCTTGTTCGAAAAATACACAGTATGCAGGACAACATTTATCTGTTAAGGCTACATCATTTAATGTACCAAAAATATGGGCGAATTCTGTTTTATTACCTTCTTTGAAGAGTGGAAATCAAATATCTTCAAATTAAAAATGTAAATCCATTAATTAATGGCTTACAAAGTAGAGCCACAGAGGGATAATAAATTCCCTATTCTGGTAGCAGGAATTAGGTAACGAAGCTTGGGGTAATGTTTTCAAGCCTTCCCAAGGGATGTATCTGAGGAATAGTAACACCTCCCTGACGTTCGCTGGTGTAACTAGGAAGTAAACTTTATTGTGTGTCAGTGAAAAACCACAATTCTTTGTGGCTGTGCTTGTGAGCACAAAAGCTGGTAGGATGTTCCATAGCCATAAAGTGTATCTTCAAACTCCAGATTAATGGGTTCTTTCTCAGCAGCAGAAGCTAATGTAAGTCAAAATAAATACTATCTTGGAATTCACAGTTTTACATAGAACACCACTGAACACTTTGCTGTGGTTAGGATATCAGCACAGTCAGATAAATACCGTATTTTTATACGTCAGTAACAAGAGTGTTTCTAGAACATACCCACAAGTAGCTGAGTCACAGAAGTATTTAGGTGCAGATGGCCTATGGAAAGAGGCAGAAGATAGAGCCAATGCTTCTCGCAATAGACATTTAAAATATAAAGTATGTACAAACTGGTACTTTATGGTGAGAGGACTGAACTGCTTCCAATAGCTATTTGACATCTGTTGTGCTAAAGAATTAAAATAATCCCTATAACTAGCAAAAGCAATCAAATTGCAGAAACTTCTTTATTTTGCCACAAAATCACGTCAAAGGCGAAAATTGTTTTTGTTTGCTCTGATAAAAATCTTGGAGGGGTGTGAGGGCAAAACAGAACCTGATATTTCATGCCTCCCTGGGCCCTCAACTCAGATTTTAAAAACTTTTTAATATCTTCCACTAATTTGTCAGCTTTCACTTTAATACTGGCTGGCATTTCCAACGATCTGAGGAAATGTTAAAAATAAATAAAAACCCAACATAAATAAAAAAATGAAACAAGAAACAATTCAACACATTGAAAAGGAAGTGTGAGTGTCTCTCTCTGGCCCTGCTCCTGTCCCGTGGACAGGCTGAGAGGAGTCAGAGGCACGAGAGGTGCCTTCAGGGGCTCGCTCTGGGCAGTGGGAGATACTGGGGTGTGTATCCAAATTGGCACAGCAGGCAAAGGGCCACAACTGCTGCAAGTGTTTCTGCTCTCACCTGCCAAACCAGATGGGATGGCTTTCTGGTTGGAGTAAGAAAGACCCCAAACCCGCAGCCTTTTTTGAGATTCCTCCCCACCAGTTTAACATCCCAGTAACGGGTGGTGATACAAGTGTCTCTGCAGGCAGGGAGAGCGGGCATTCCCAAAGGGAAAGCAAGGATTGCTTTTGCTGGTTGTTTTTTTTTTTTTTTCCTCCCCACAAAGACTATCAGTTTGTGTTTAAACGAAGCCTTTTCTCTTTCTCTCTCTCTTTGTTTTATTTTGGGTTTTGTTTGTTTGTTTCCTTTTCCTTTCCCCCCCCCTCCTTGCTGCCTGCCTGAGGAGTCTGTGTGGGCAGCCACCAGCAGAGAGCCCCTCGGGCACCCTTAAGCCCCCCGACCCTGCTGCTCACCCAGAGGTTTGAGGTTATGCACCAGGTCAGTTTTGTGCAGCAGAGAGCCTTGTGGAACCAGGAGGCTTCAACTTCTTGAGACCTGTACGTCTGTTCAGCCAGAAGTACTCCCTAAATCTGCTTTGTTTGCCAATTCCCTCAGCTGTAAACTAGCAGACACTGGCTGGGGGTGCTGTTTTGTTTGTTGGGACTGAGTAACACAAAAGCCTAAATCCTAAATCATACAATCAATAAATAACTCTGGTGATATAATTAATGACATTTTATATAAAAAGACATTTACTTCTTTAGGTATTAAGGTTAAACTCTACCATCCTATCTGCAGGGGGAGACATTGGGAAGGGATTTTTGAGAGCAGAACTCATTGCTACCCCGATCCTAAAGTGCAGTGGGTGCTGTGCAGCGCACAGCGATGCGGGAGGGCGGTGTGGGCTTCTCCCTCACAGCCTGCTGGGCTAGCAGCTTGATTGCTACCCTGATCCTAAAGTGCAGTGGGTGCTGTGCAGCGCACAGCGATGCGGGAGGGCGGTGTGGGCTTCTCCCTCACAGCCTGCTGGGCTAGCAGCTCTCTGCTTCGGGAATTATTGGATGGATAAGGGTAAAAGAAACGAACTGTAACAGGGAAAATCAGATATTAGGAAGAAAAATTCTCACAGTGAGGGTGGTCAAATACTGGAACGGGGCCTGGAGGGGTTATGGGCTCCCAGTCCCTGGAGAGGCTCAAAATCCAGCGGTGTGAGGCCCTGGGCAGCCTGCTCTGCCAGGGGAGCCAGGCCAGGAGACTGCCAGAGCTCACTTCTTGCTGAAACCTCTTCCTGTGATCCTGTGAAATACTCGTATCATTTCTAACACGAATAGTGTGGTACTGCTGGGCCGGTGCAGCAGTACTGAACAAACTACTTAGTTCAGCTGCAGTGTTTAACATTCATCAAAGTTATAAGATGAAATTGTTCAGAAAGCTGAAGAGTTAAGAATAACCACTTTCTATTTAGAAATGCCAAATATGGTCATGGGATTACTATGAGTGTGTGATTAAGGTAACCTGTAACTCTTGCTATCCAAGCTTCAGTGAGCATTAGGACTGTTCTGCCTTCTTGGTCTCAGCCCAAGGTTAGAAGTACTTTGGTTGGGTGCTCTTTTGAGGTAAGCTTATGGATCTCTGCTCCGCAGATGATGGCAGTCAGCCTTGGCCTAGTCCTACTCCTTGCTTTAATCCCAGCGCTCTAAATCTGGTAGTTCTCCCCAGAGATTAAGAGCTGAACGTTCTTTTTTTGCAGCACAGCCTGTGTGTGTGAGGTGGCCCTAAAAAGGTGTCCCCCCAAGCTCCCCCAGGGTCTGTGTGTGGCTGCTGCAGCACTGGGTGCCCAGGGCAGGGGCTCTGGGAGCTCCCTGGGACCCTCCCAGGGTCCCAGAGAAGTCTAGAGGTGCTAATGAGTGGACAAGGAGAGAGGTCTCCGTCTCCCTTATCTCGTAAAGGGAAGGTGAACTAACTTTTAAAGTGCTAAAAATCTTTGTAAAAGTAGTGTAAAAGCTGTAAAAGTTGACATAGGAAATGGAGTACCTTTCAGGTGGTGCCTCTGATGATGGAGTTGGAGTGCTTGCCTTGCTAAACTGGCTCAAAGCCCCAATCCTAACACCTGGGAGGGTTTGTGGTGTAGCCTTACGTGATTCACCTGTGAGCGGGAAGGGGTTTTTGTGGCTGAGGAGCAGCAGCAGCGGGAGGTCAGGGTCTCTGGAGGAACCAGATCTCGTTGTGGCGGTTGGCGGCAGCGGGGTTGGTGTACCCGGCGATGATGAACGTATCCTGCAGACACAGCTCGGGGCTCTCCAGGATTTCTGCCAGCAGGTTTATTTCTCTCATTATAGAGTCTTCATTGGTGATTCCTCTGAAGCTCCTGTAACAATCAATTTCATATCAAGTTCTTTTGAAAATCCAGGGTTTTTTTTCCAGAGCCTGGAAATGCTGCCTCCTAAATTATTTACTCATGTTTTGCCCACGACTACCTGACTGCGATCTCAAACACCGTAACAGTTTTTCCTGAGTGTTTTTGGTGACACGTCAGTCACAGAACAGTCTGTGTTTTGAGATGCTGTTGTATCTCACGTTTACAGATGCATCATTTTCCCAAGTAAGCTGGTAACCATTATTTCCTGAATATCCCAGTCTCATAAGGCAAAAGGCAGCTTTTAACAACTACTGAAAATCAAGTTTTAGTGTTTGTTAGCTTTTTAGAACTCGGTTTAAAAGATGTAACGTGCATTGAAAATTGTAACAAACCGAAAACTGCATCTTTTTACAGATTTTACTAGGACAAAATGAAAATATCTCTTACCTACTATAAACAATAGTAGAAGGCCATTCTTCGATGACAATGTCGGAGTCGAAAGGGTGCGGTGGCTGGTCCTGCAGCACCTCGGGCAGGTAGTACGCCACTGTCACCGCCTGCCTCATCTCCGACTGAGCTGCATTCGTGTGCACTATGGTCACTATGGGTATCGTGATCCCCAGGTACAGGCCTGAGGAGACAGACGGGACTTTTAGAAAATATAAGAGCAGGTCTACGTAGTGAGCGTGACTTCTGAACTCATGCTGAATGACATGAAGTGAGAACCACGGAGCAACAGGAGTGGCATTATTGAAAGGAATTCAGTAGGATCCAGTTTTAGAAAAAGGGGCTGTGTATTCCAAGTGGAAGTAGCATTTTATTATGGCTTGTAGTTTGTGTGTGTATATTTATATATCTAAATCCTACATGTGCAAATATTGTGCATGTGTGTCTAAAATATGGGGTTTGGTGAGCTCTCTCATCTTCATGTAGGGCAAGGAGTTTGACTTAACTTCGTTCCCTGTGTCGATCTTGTAAACCGACCTTGGGTCATGTTTTAAATATTTGGGAACAAAGAATGTAGGCAAGACAAAGGGCTGCATTGGGAATCCATTTAGGATGTGCTGTTATCAAACACATTGCTGTGTTTTTGCAATGTTCTAGGAAAAGGCTGACTGTTTTGACTGTGCTGGTAGCGGTGATGGCTGGGAGTGGGAACTTTGCTCCTGTACACATTTGGAACCAAAACTGCACTGTCCTGGAGCCAAAAGTACTTATAATTACTTTAACTGTGTTAAAGCATTAAAAGAAGGGGGAGAGCGTGGAAAATACCTGATTAAGGAAAAGCTTTAATGATCAACGTTTCTAGTTTCTTGGAAAGAAAACGAGGGGTTGAGTTGATTACAACACATGTGCTATTACAGAACAAAGCCCCGGGCATTGCACTACTTTTTAATCAACTGGAGAATTAAAAAAATGAGAACTGATGGCTGGAAGTGGAAAGCAGATTAAACTGGGCTGGAAACTAGGTGCGCATTTTTCATGCAGGCACAAGCTAGCAAGGACATGGTGGACCTGCCATTATTTTAAAGTACTTGAGTTAAAACTGGATTATCTTTCTGGAAAATATGCTTCAGCCACACAAATTTTTGGTGTCCGTTCAGATACACACCACTTGAGTATCATGAACTCAAACCAAAGAGACAAAACATCCTGGTCTGTCTTGGCTTTACACTCTGATTATGTTCCTGGAATAGGCGAATCCAGTACTGCTGTGAGAGCTAAACCACTCAAATTCTGTAACAAAAGCCTAATTTATAGCTGTCAGCCTCGAAACCAGCCAGCATCAGATTCCAGGCAGCTGCAATGGTCAGAGTGACCTTGGAAGCAGCGATGGCTTCCCACAGATGTTCTCCTCCAGCCTGTGTGCCGGGGGAGCAGCACGTGGGCTTGGGCTCTGCTGGAAGGCTGCACTGCAGGAGGATCTCCCCGTGGACAGGGTGGAGGATTTGGGAAAAGCTAATAAAACTAGCTCCCCAGTTAGGACAAGCTATGCATAAAGTTCTAAATTTAGTGTAGAATTGTGGTACTAATTACCTGAGGAATTCTGCTCACAAATGTATCTCATAAGCTTCATGAATCCAAGGCATATGCTCTGTTCATATTGTTTTTCTTTCATTTTTATACAAGCCCATTTGGCTTTTCCATACTGACGTTTTTCGTAAAGCAGGTCTCCAAGCTGCAAACACAGTAAGATAACAATTTTGTATTTTAAGTTTATCACCTAAAAAACCCAAGCAAATAAATGAAAGACAAACAGTATTTGTTGTGTACAAATGGAATAGGTTGTATTTGTATACAACAAATACATATTCTGCAGTGTTACTTGTGGAATAAGGAAATCAACCTTGTGAAGTGTGTGACCAGGAGAACAGCAAGCTTGAGGAGTAATTTTAAGTCTCAGTGTCAGCTCTACCTCAGTGCATTCCGTTTAATATTTCGTTCACTTCAAGGTCCAAGCCTCTAGTAAGGAGATACCCAAGCCCAGTGCAGCATCTGCATCTTACTGAGTACAGGAATAATTGCATCTTTTTTCAATTGTCAGTGAAACAATCTTGAAAGGAACATGTGAATTTTAATCCTTCCAAATAGAAATCAAGAAGGGATACACTGCTGATCTTGGACCACAGTTCATTCCAGCAGACTTCTAGGTAGTTCTCTTTAACGTAAGGAACTGTCATCTCTTGCACTTGCAGCATTAAATGTTTAGTTGCAAGTAACACTGAATAACGTTTTTTTTTTTATCTGCAGTTATTAGAGTAGCACTGAGAAACTGCTTTCAGGCATTTAATCACAACAGAAATAGTTAGGAGTCTCAAACTGTTTGGATGAAATACACTCATTCAAATTGTGGTATTTATAAATTTGAATTACATAGATTTATTTATAAGAAATGTAAGAAATTTGTAAGAAATGCAAGAATTCTTCATAGATGGTTTATAACGATTCTCTTGATTTGTCATGTATTTAACATTAGACGCTTGTTTGCACGTTTCCTGAGCTGCAAACAATTTGCTGGACGTCAATTTCAGTTTCTCATTAGGGGATGAGATGGGTTTGAGAAGACGGGTTTGCAAATCACTGATTTGTTTGATAATGACTCGTGATATGAAAGTACGTTTCATTTCAGATATTAATCTCTTTCAAGTGGTCTTGCTAAAGTTTGTTTAATGTGATTGTGGAAAGAAGCAAATGCATTGATTTAAATGAAAAAAAATAGGTGTTTTATTTCAAATGTCAAAATATAAGGGGGTTTTGTTAAATTAATTCTAGAGGGTCACAGGCACTGTAATTCCTGACCACCTTCTGACTCTCCTGATAGTTTCTACCTTACAAAAAAGAAAAAAATGACACATGTGAAAATGATGAGACGCTAAAAATGAGATGTAGTTACGCAGTTCTAATGCTTTGCACTTACGATGGTAAAAATCCTAGTTTGTGAAAGTGATTTTATAAAGAAACATATTTTGTGAGCTCGGTCTGAGCACTGAAAACTGCTACACCTTGGCTGGGGAGGGATCCATACCTTTTCTTTGCGCTGGATGAGGGTGAAGGGCACGGTCTGTCTCTCCTGGGGACTGTTGTTCCGCGTCAGCTGCTGGATGGGCTCGGCCATGTCTGCAAGAAAATAACACATCACCAGTGTGAGAGGTGAAGCTGGGGAAATGAGAACGAAACGTGGCATTCTGCTGTCTCTTAGCTGAGCTTCTGGTGACTTTGGGTTTGTAATGAGTTTAGTTTGTGCCTCAATATTAATAGGAAAGGTTAAGGGACTTCTGTCTCTGTGCAAATGACGTTGCTGATTGCAGCTCTGGTTCACAGAACTACTGCTGTGGAAAGTTTGTCACTTCCAAAGGGTGTTTGATGTCTAATATTCTACTTTAGCACTCCATGTTACGCACGTTTCAGTGCTACTCATTAGTGAGGATGTGTTGGGTGTGAGGCCCGTGTTGGCTCTCAGAGGCAGCAGTGCCTGAGCCACTGGTGCACGCTAAGCACGGCCAGCACTGGCCACACACTGGTGTCCTGGCTCTGCCAGTACTGCTACCCCACTGCCACACTGCTTTCCTCCCCAGTTCGCTCCCAGTTGCAGTCACTGGGAGCGTTAGGGCTGAAACTGAGGGGAGCACCATCCAGCTATGGTGTCTGTACCTCACATACAGGTAGCTCCTCTGCATGCAAAGTGCAGTTCTGGCTCTGAAGTGAAAAATATTAACTTTTTTTTTTTTTTTTTAATGCAAGCCCTTCCAGTAAGACCTCGTAGGAGGGCAGGATTTCAGAACAGAAGGCAAACAAACATCTTCGTTGTGAAGTGGAGGAGAATATGAACTTTTGTGTGTAGGTTCAGGAGATGTCACAGAACAGGACACAGGCAGGGCGGTGTCAGCAGCCAGCCCCTCAAGGGAGGTGACTCTTCTGCCCAGTGCCCGAGAAGCTGTGTTTCCTGTGCTGTGCCTGGTTTGGGGCTTGATGAACTGGAGATAACAGGGTGGAGGGCCACCCGCCTGGCCAGGACAGGGTGACGTGCACAAGGGGCTGGAGAACCCCATGTGCTCAGGCTGGAGGGGGGAAAGCGAAGGTGGGGTGTGTGGGGGGATCAAAGTCCAGAAAGCATAGATGAGGGAGGAATTTTTAATGCAAAGTCAAAGTCCAGAAAGCATAGATGAGGGAGGAGAAAAGTGTACTGTTTAGTTAAAGAAATATAAGATGAAGAAACTTAAAATTCCTCAGTGTATACTTCACCGAAGAACTGTATCTTAAGACGACATGTAATTGTTTAACAAAGAAATCAGAACATAGATTTGTGCTAATTTAACACAATTGCTTTTTGTTGCATACTAGCTTTATGCATATGTGCTGTCTGATTAGATACCAGGTACATCAGATTGAAGGGTTTGTTTCAGTTTGGAATGGACAGAGAACTGTTCACTTAAATATTAAAATTCTAGCAAAACTGAAAGGTAACTTACATAAAGGTGGGAGTAGAGCAAAGTTTCAGTGTTCTGGTTCTGCTACATCCAGCAGAAAGAAATATGGTGGTTCAATGCTCTCAACTAGTCCTAGTTACCATAAAGCACTAGTATTGATTAGGTGGAACACACACTGTGTGACTAACAGCGACACACCGTGTGTTTTCCATACTTGTTACGTTTGCTGCTGCCTGTGGTCTCAGCCTTGGGCAGCCGGAGGGCTCTGAGCACAGTCTGACACGTGGCACCACTTCTCATCTGAGCTCTCGCACTTTGGTGGCAGATCATGATGGGAAGGAGAGTGTTAATACTTGGCTGTATTGGAGCTTTGAACACCTACACGCTCGCTTACCTATAGCGAGGTGGAACTGAAGTGTGTGTTTGTGTGATTCTCACATTTGTAAGAAATTAAATAGCAAACCTATTCTCTGTTTCTAGATGCAGTGACCCCAGCAACCATCCAGTCTGTATCGATCGTTCCCAGCCAAGCTCAAAGGAGCAAATGTATTGCACTTACGTACATAGTACTAACCTATTCTAGTATTTCTGTTCTGCTGTAGTTTTGCCATTTAAATATGGATGAATTAGGCGTATTTGCAGCTATGGTTGCCCTGACGTCAGTCCTAGCTGCGGGTCATAAATAAACTCTGCTTAGGAGTTGATCCCTAGCAGACAGGCTTGGAAACTCTGGGTATAAGGTTATTCTTAGGAATGGAGAGCCTCTCTCCAAACGAGCTAGTCCCTTGCCTTTCAAGCTGAAGTAATGCAAGCAGTTCTGTGTTTTGACAGAGGTTGGGAAACTTAATTTTTACGTACAGTGTTTGAAAGTCTGGATGTGAATTTGTGCCTCATGGTATGTATCAGACACACGTGAAAAGGACTGAAGTTTCAACTGAAGTAGAAGCTTCCCTTGGGTGTTTGAAGTGCCTCGGTATCTTTAGTGCAAAAGGCAGGATGACAGGGGAAAAGAGTATTATCCATGTTCCAGAGAAGAGGAGAATTAAGATGCAGGAGAATTAACTTGCCCTAGGTCACTTAGTAAATCTGTAGCTGGGAATCAAACCTACATCTCCTGGCATCCAGTGCAGGGGCTTTAGTTTTAAGACTATTTGGAATAGTAAAGATCCTTTTAATAAAGGGAAGAAAGCTAGACTTAGTTAATCTTAAATTTTTTTTAAAAATGTAATTGAGAAACATTTAAAATGTAAGTAATAAGTGACATGTACAATTGGTCTCCTTAGAGGCTGAGAAAAAACAGAAGTAGATTAGACTTCAGCACTGAATTTTCCACAGAGTATTCAATAATTAGGAAGTGGTTTAGGACTTTAGAAAAGTTACCTCTATTTTTAGATTCCTTTACAGATAAATGCTTGTGTGTGTAGGGTTATATTCCTTTTTTTTTCCCCCCCTGCCATATTAATGCACAGGATAGGAATTACAACTAATTAAAGTCCTTTGAGGAGTTTTATTCTTCAGTTTATAACAGTATAACATTTGGATTATAAATATTTTAACCTGCACAATACTATACTATATATATAATAATTATATATAATACTATAATATAATAACAAAAGCAAGTGAGTTGCTTGATTTAGAGGCCATCTGTCAGTCCAGGCTTGCAAACACGAATACTGGTGGGACAGAGGCAAGCTGAGTAGTAGCAGTGTCACTGGGGAAAGGCTTGGTTTGATTGAATTTCAGAATTGTGATTGCAGTTGCTGCTCTAGGTAGGTGTTATGAAAGAGGCAAACCTCTCCAAAGGGCTTTGTGTAGATAAGGCACCTTTGACAGGACTTGTGCATAGCAGCAAGGCTGAGCAGTATTTAAATTGTTGTATGTCTTAATGAGTGTGGGAGTGTCACTGAAGTGGGATGTACTTGTCAGCTGTGCCCTTGACTAATGTACGTGCACATGAAGCTTTGTCATTCTGGAGCAGAGGAGATGGCCTTTGTAATGCTGGGAACCCAACCTTCAGCTGAGGAGATGGCCTTTGTAATGCTGGGAACCCAACCTTCAGCTGAGGAGATGGCCTTTGTAATGCTGGGAACCCAACCTTCAGCTGAGGAGATGGCCTTTGTAATGCTGGGAACCCAACCTTCAGCTGAGGAGATGGCCTTTGTAATGCTGGGAACCCAACCTTCAGCTGAGGAGATGGCCTTTGTAATGCTGGGAACCCAACCTTCAGCTGAGGAGATGGCCTTTGTAATGCTGGGAACCCAACCTTCAGCTGAGGAGATGGCCTTTGTAATGCTGGGAACCCAACCTTCAGCAGAGGAGATGGCCTTTGTAATGCTGGGAACCCAACCTTCAGCTGAGGAGATGGCCTTTGTAATGCTGGGAACCCAACCTTCAGCTGAGGAGATGGCCTTTGTAATGCTGGGAACCCAACCTTCAGCTGAGGAGATGGCCTTTGTAATGCTGGGAACCCAACCTTCAGCTGAGGAGATGGCCTTTGTAATGCTGGGAACCCAACCTTCAGCTGAGGAGATGGCCTTTGTAATGCTGGGAACCCAACCTTCAGCTGAGGAGATGGCCTTTGTAATGCTGGGAACCCAACCTTCAGCTGAGGAGATGGCCTTTGTAATGCTGGGAACCCAACCTTCAGCTGAGGAGATGGCCTTTGTAATGCTGGGAACCCAACCTTCAGCTGAGGAGATGGCCTTTGTAATGCTGGGAACCCAACCTTCATGCTGAGGAGAGCCCTCAGTGCTGGGCTGGGGTGTGAGGCTGGGCAGGACCCAGTGCTGGGGGCTCTGCAGTCCCCCCCCTGCTCGCTTCCTTCAGCCCACAGAGGTTATGGCTGTCCCTGGGCTGCTTAGGTGAGGTCATCATCAGAACGGGTGGAAAATCTGCAATTCCAGATGTGCAGTTTGACCTGCAGCCTTGGTGCTGGAGCTCAGCGTGAGCTGCTCTGCACACTGAGTGTCTCTCAACAGCTGTGTGCTTTAGCGAGTCCATGGGTTTGATGTGTAGCAACTTCCCTGAGCTTGCTTGTCAATGAATGTGCTTGTATTGAAATCAGAATTGAGAAATTTAAAGTAACTGCCGTGGCATGTTTTCTGCTTCTGCCGGCAGAGATACAGTGGAGTTCTCAAGCCAGGAAAGTTAGAGTTTTGCTTCCTGCACCTTTCATTTTCTGTTATGATTTTGCTGTAAGGTTTGGCACAGGCCAGTTAGTCTATAGGATTAAGATCTTGTTAACAGTGACAAATCGAAATACCAGCCATATAATTATCTGGTCACATCTCACAAAATCTTAGAATGCTTACAGTGTTCTTGTAACCCTTACAAGGTGCTAAAGAAAAGCTACAAAGCAAGGCATCTTTTGGAAAAGTATATTGTCATCATAGAACAGAACAGGTGTCAGCTTGTAGCAGTCCAGAACTATTGCCAAGAGGGCTGCTAATGTTCTTATTTTGCAGGTTTTAGCCCAGGAAATCCCCGTGCTGTTGTGACAGCGTGGGATGCCCCGCACAGGGACCAGCCTGGCAGGGAGCACTCGCCAAGGGAGCTCTTGGGTGCTCTTCAATCAGGGCTTGGGCAGTGCCCAGCTGTGGGGATGGGCACAGCAGTGACAGGAGGTGGTGTGCTCCCTGGAGATTTCCTCTCTCTTTCCTTACTGCAGCCCCTGAGGCTCGGGCAGGCTGTGCCCGGCGGGATGCCAACAGGGGTGCTGCCAGTTAGCTTCAACTTGGGATGGACCACCTAACCTGACCTGGGAAACTCTCCTAACTGTGCTGCTTGGGATGCAGTCACTCTTGATGTATAGCCCTGGACAATATCTGAAGAAAAATCTTCTATTTAGAATTGTTTAGCATTACAGAACAAACCTTTTGTAATACAGTAGCTAAAATGTGGTAAAATATTATTTTTGACATACTTTCTAGACTTGATATCCTGCCGCATAAATGTCAGTGAAACAGGGAATTGCAATTCCCAGGTATCAGAGTATTCCATGGGAAGGAATCTTGTTTTCTGCCACACAAAACTACTCTTAACATTGCAATTCCCAGGTATCAGAGTGTATTCCACAGGAATACACTTGTTTTCTGCCACACAAAACTACTCTTAAGGAGCAGCTTTGCATCTGTGTGTTCATGCCTCCTGCTTTAATTAGGGAGCCCCTCTCTCCCCTTCTTCCCTCCCTCCGTGCCCCTCCAGGCGAGCCAGGGAGCTCCGTTCAGAGCTTGCCCCTCTGGTAGTGCCCGAGGGGTTGTTGGTTTGTGCTGGTAGAACAGGAGAAAGAGGAGAGGAGCCATGTAGGCATGACTTGAAAGGGAGGTGGTACCCTCTTTGCCTTGTTGGAATCTAGAAAAAAGCTTTTCAGTGGGAGTGCTTTCATCGTGGTGGTGTCTAGTGCGGTCTGTTGCTCAGGGGTTTGCTGCTCCCCCAGCCCTGGGCAGGTGATGTGCCTGAAGGGCTCGGCAGGTGGGTCCCAGGTCCTGCACCAGCTAAGGCTCCGTTCCCCTCTGCTGCTTGCTATGAGTTATCAGACTCGGTACGGTCTTTCAGATTCTCCAGTCTTTCTTAAAATTGAAAATAAACGGTTTCTTAATAAGATAAGCCTGGGAGGCTTACTGTCAGACAGCTCAGCTGATCCTTTTGCTTGTTTACGCTGTGCCGTCTTTCAGTTCAGCCACCTTTCTGTGAAGAACTAACCCCCTGCATAGCTACGGCGAGCAGAGATTCTTAAGAGGGATACTTCTGCAGGTAGCCAGATTTAATTTGTAATGAAGACTGAAAACTCTCCTCAGCCCTTTTTAGTAACGACAGGTCAATTCCTACGGCTGCAGCCGCTCCCCTGGGTCAGAAGAGCTGTAGCTCGGGCTGTGTGTACCGGCGGTGCCGGGACCCGCCGGGGGTGTCGATGGCAACACCCCCTCACCCCAGCCCCTTCCCCGGCCTGGGGGGCGGTGGGGGGCGGGTGGGAGCTCTCTGGGGGGACAGCCCCGAAGGCAAGCTCCGTGCGGGCTCCCCGGAGAAGGGGGAGGTTTGCGGGGGTCCCGTTCCCCGCTGGGGACCCCGGCACCGCTGAAGCCGGGGGGGTGGTGGTGGTGGGGGGGAGATGGAGACCCCGCAGCTGAAGGTCAGGAGTACCGGGAAGGTTACGGTCCCGGCCGGTAAGCTCCCAACCGCCGGCTCCCTAATCCCCCCAAGCCCCGCGGGGCTGCCGTGGGTGTAAGCGGCTTAGCGCGGCCCGGCCCGGCTCTTACCCCGGGGCACGTCCACCTGGTGCCCCCTGCCCACGCTCTGCCAGTAGCTCAGCAGCCGCTCCTGCTCCTCGTCCTCCATCCGCTCGGCCTCCTCCTCCAGGCTGCTGCCGTTGCTGTGGTACGCCGAGTCGGGGCTCTCCTCCGCCATCCCGTCCAGATCCTCCAGAGTGATCATGGCCGGGCCGCCCGGCTCCGCGCCGCCGCCCATGCGGCACCCGCCCGTCTCCATCGCGCCCGGCCCGGGGAGCGGGCTGCCCGCCCCGCCGCCGCCCCGCCGCCTTATGAAGGGATTTGAGGGCGGGGGGGGGGTCCCCGCCTCTGCCCGCCCGCCGCCGGGGCAGTGCCAGCGGGAGGGAGGAGCGGCGGCCCGCACTGCGCTCCCGGCTGGCGGAGCGGGGCACAGCCCCGCCGGGATACCGCTCCCGGTGCTCTGCGGCTTCACCCGGAGCTGCGGGGCCGGCAGTGGGGACCCTAAAGTGCATGTTTCGCTCGCTATTAACTCGTCATGTTTTCATAGCTATTCTTTTTTTCCCTGCTGCTCCTCATGTCCTTTTAGTCCTTCTTTATTACAGCTTTCTTCTAATATTTTCAAACTATGCTTAGAATGAGGAGAAACTTCTTCACGGTGAGGGTGACAGAGCCCTGGAACAGGCTGCCCAGGGAGGGTGTGGAGTCCCCTTCCTTGGAGATTTTCAAGACCCACCTGGATGCTCCTGAGTAACATGCTCTAGCTCTGGGCAATCCTGCTTCAGCAGGGGAGTTGGACTAGATGATCTCTATGGTCCCTTCCAACTCTAAAATTCAATGAAATTCAGTGAATCATAGAATGGTTAGAGTTGGAAGGGACCTTAAAGATCATCTCATTCCAAACCCCTGCCCTGGGCAGGGACACCTCCCAGCAGACCAGGTTGCTCAAAGCCCCATCCAACCTGGCCTTGAACCCCTCCGGGGATGGGATGATACCTTGGCGCGAGGCACAATGTGAATCGATCCATGTCACAGGATACCTTGGCGCAAGGCACAATGTGAATCGATCCATGTCACAGGTAGTGTGGCTAAAATTCCATTTTAGTGCAGTGCAAACACTGGCTGTAGTTTGTGAGTAAGGCATTTTCCATGTAATTTTGGAAGTTGGATCATTGCTCTCAAGTGCGGGCAACCGGGCTCTTGGAGGTTCCTTCCAGGACACCGTTATTCTTGAGAAGAGCTGACTTTTTGAGGCGATGTGCAGAGGCTCCTCCTCTGCCTATCCTGCATAAATTAGTCTCAAACTTTCTCTTAGAAAACAATCTCAACTCTTTTGCTCAAGCCTTAATTATGAGAATAAATAATTGCTTAAATGAAACAAATTCTGTTTAGAGCCAGATTTCTCTATTTGTGAGAAATGCCACTGAGCATTGTGAGAAATGTGAGACAGGATCTTAAACTCCTGCCAGCCTCTATTTTAAATATCCACCCGCACAGATTCCTGCTGGGGGTTTGGTTTGTGATGCTCTTGGTAGTTGCATACAGAGGGCTGCGTTTGCTGGAGCACTGAAGGTGTGTCGTGCTCTGTGTCCAGGTGCTGCTGTTGGCTCAGACCACTAGAGTACCTGATTGCTACTGGAATTGAACAAAGCTGATTTTTGCTGTATTTAGGTTTTTTTCCTCCCCAGCTCATTAATTTTGTGTGTGATTGCTGACTAATAGATAGTCACTCTTGAAAAAGCATAGTTTTGGTAGTGCTGTATTCTTGGTGCCTTCCTGGCAGGTTATATCTCTGAATGTAAAAGAAAAATACTCAGCCTTGCACACTGAGGATATAAAAGACCCTCGGTAGGATGCTTCTTTCTGTGGCAACGTGCTGCTGTTTACTCTTACTGGAGGCAGATTCATGTAGAAAAGGCACTTTCTTATAAGTTCTGGAGTAACAGAGTCAAAATGTTCTCAGTGAAATTAATTGAAAAGTAAAAGCTGTAGGCCGCCTTTTTATTTGATAACTTTTAAGAAAAGAAAACGCTATAATAGGAGAAAATCAAGATGTTGGAAGAGGACAAACTATTATATCTTTCTGGTGATTACCAGCTTCCAGGCAAGAGGGGCATATGTTCAACGGGTAACGGATCCCTGGAGAGTGGGAAGACTGGGAAGCATCTGAATGAGTTAATATAAACTTGACAACTAAACTTTCAGAGGCACCAAGGTCATGACTAGGTTGATCAGTATTGGGTTTGGAGAATTATAAGGTCAGTTTAAAAACACTGTACCCTGCTGTGTCCCTGTTTCGTTAGTTTCATTATTGGGAAGGTAAGAAAATGTCAGTGGAAAGCTCGCACAGAACGGCTCTGTTCTCCCTCCTGTTTGGAGTTTGTCATGACTCCAGAGTTGGACAGGGAGAATAACTACAGCTGCTAGCTCCAAATGCCCTTCTCAGTTGCTTTCTCTGTCATAAACCCGCAGTTTGACTGTTAATAATTGCCCTCCTTCCCATCTTTGATGTACTCTACTATGATTTGAGAGGCTTCATCAAACATTACAATGAACTGTTCTTACTCTATCCGTAAATTTTATGTACTCTCTGTGCCTAAAACGTTTCTTTACAGACATCCTTTCACCGATGGCAAGCTTCCTGAGCTGCTCCATGGGATGTGCTCCTACGGCCGTGGGGCTGGCCGTTTTCTGGTCCCCCCTGGCTCTGTGACCACGGGCACTTTCTTCTTTGGTGGCATCTCAAGACTCTCTCGCTCAGCCCGGAGTACGGTTGGCAGAGACTAATCGTGGACTGTTCCTGGGGCTCCCTCCTGGAAGTTCCTTTCAGGAATATTAGGTTATGGCACTGACACCTCTCAAGGCAGCACACTGTGAAACCCAAACCTTTCTGGTTTCAGTCTCACAGCAAAGCAGGGAATGCTCTAGATCTTCATCTAACCTTCGTTGGGGCAGCTTTTCCTGGAGGCCTTGGCTGATTTCATGGCTTCCTGCAAAATGGGTTTGCTCTCCCCCAGGACAGTAGGATCACAATTCTATCATGAAGACTTGTGATAAATGCATCTTCTGAGCTGCTCTTTCAGGCTAGAGCCTGGAAGAAGTCTCCTCTTTCCCGTGATAAATACATCTTCTGAGCTGTCTTTCCAGCCATGAGTGCTGGGGCTAGAGCCTGGAAGAAGTCTCCTCTTTCCCCTTCTTGTCTTCCTTCACTCCCTTTGTTGAAAATTTGGAGATCTGGAGCAGAGAGTAGGAGCAGTGTGATGTCCATATTGTACATTGAAGATGCTGGACGTGGGTGAGTTGGGAGGGCAGGGAAGGGGATGAAGAAAGGGCAGCTCCATTGAGGTGAGTGCGAGTGCATAAACCCGGTCAGGTCCGTCCATGGAGGCTGGGAGCCCTTCCTGGCATTCCCGGGTGGAAGTGGACCTCGCAGGCTTTGGTTTGTGAGGGTACAGTCCTCGTAGTGGCTGGTTCCTTCTCTGCTCTCACAGAAATGCAGTGCAAACAGTTATTTATGCGTGGGAGATTTCTCGTTTTACTTGGGTAAAGAATGCTTGCAAATCTGCACTAAAATAATTAGGCCGGGTCGTTTGTTTAGAGCCTTTGTGGTTGTTTTTTTTTATTGTGGCAAGAGAAAGCAGATTAAATTTGTTTAGAGCCTTTGTGTTTTTTTTTTATTGTGGCAAGAGAAAGCAGATTAATGCAGGTTTTAGGGAGGTGCAGCTGAAAGGGCAGCAGTTCTTTGCCTTGGCAGTTCTGCCTGTACCACCCATGGGAGTCCTCAGCTCATGCCGTGGCTCCAAAGGGCAGGTCCTACACTAATCTCGGGTACGAGCTTCAAAAAATCAGCCCAATTTTGCTGGGGAAGGACTTTGTTCAGCAAAGCCTTATGTTCTTGGCGAGTGTAGTGCAGTATGGGATAACTTTACCAGTTGTCTTTTATATATTGGTAATAAATCTGTCAGCTTTTTGAACTCAATTTAGTGAGATAGAGAAAGCCATGAGTCCCAGTAAGCAATTAATTTAAATTAATTCTGCAGTTCTGTTTTTAAATGGGTAACATAACACTTAAATGTTTTGGAAAGATTGAGAAGACTTTCCAGAAGTATTATCTTTTTAATTAAAAATAAAGGTATGGAGGCAAGATAAATGTAATCGCCCTGAGTAGCGCTTGTTTCTGTATCTCTTCTAAGTAGGTTATGTTTACTGTTCCTTATTAGTTTTGAAGCTCCAGGTGACTGGATCCTGCTGTCTTTCATAATAGTCTTCCTTGGGTTGTTTTGCAGAAGCTGATTAAATCAGACAGGGGTGTACATTGAGCAAACAGTGACAATATCGTTTTCTTACATGTTATAAACTAGGTCAGGGGATGAAATATAAAAGTACATTTAATAGTAATTTCTTTTCAAAAAAGCTATGCAACCAGTATGGGAAATAATAAACCAGTGGTGAAATATGATACTTGGGTGAGCATTACTTTTTAATGAAAACATTAATTTCATTTCTGGAAAATCATGTTTGTGTTCAGAGACTGAGTCCATTTCCACTGCCAGAGACAGAGCTTCAGCTTGGTCTTCAGCCTCTCAAGTGTCCTCTCGTCCAACTGTTATGGAGTTTGATGGGAGGGTAAAATGCTATTTCAGTGATATCACATTAAAATACAAAGCACTGACTTACCCTTGCATGGTCAACATTTGCCCTTTTTTTTTTTTAAATACCTTTTTTATAAGCTGGCACAGAGATTTCCAACTCTGTCCTTGTAAAGTGACTTGTCAGTTGCAGGCCAGATCTAAAAACGATGCCATAATAACAAACTGTTTGGTAAAAGACAAAAGTTTTGAATATTAAACTCTTGAAACTAAACCAAATATGAGAAAACAATTTCTTGTGCCTTTAGACTTCCCGGTGGCTGGGGGAATGCTTTTGACTGCATTTTAAGAAAAGATCATTTGATTTACTTCCCTCCCTCCCCCTTTTCCTCTGGAGATTCCTAGTGCTATTGTATTTTCCAATTGGTGTTTGCTTGTTGCGAGTGGTTTATTTGATCTAATTAGTGCATTAGTCTTAATTAGCAGGCATGCTCTGGGGTGGCGTCCCTGGATGGTGCTTTGCAGTGCCCGGGGACCGTGTTGGGCCGTGTCCCAGTCTCCCTGCTGGTACAGATGGACCTGGGGATGGGGCTCGGGGGTGCCTGGGGCTGGTGGGCACTGGTGGGCGTTGGGTCTGAGGGCAGATCTCCTGAGAGCCGTGGGGTGAGCAGTGTCCTCAGCACCCCCCTGCCCACGGAGCTGTGCCCAGAGCCTCCCAGTGCCCCTGCGGCCATCACCCCGCTCTCCTTGGGCCAGGAGCCAGCGGGTAACCCGCCTGAGACCCACCATCCCAGCCCCAAGGCCCCTGAGCAGGGAAGAGGAGCAGCCCAAGATGCACCAGAGCATTCAGAATTTAGGCTTTGTTTCTATTATTTCTCAGCAGCCTTTATCTGTTATAATCCGCTTAGCCTGCTGACTCCAGCCAGCTGGTTTGGAGAGACCTGCAGGCACGGAGCGGGCAGCGTGGAAATTCCCCAGCACATTGTTCCCTCCCTGTGGCTGGTGCTCCCCCGAGTGCTCAGTCACCCTTCCCCAGCTCTGATTCTGGGGAGGATTAATGCTGCTGGAGCTGACGACGGCAATTCTTCCCACCCCTTTGCTCAGGATTTGCCACTTGGTGCCACGTCGGCGCCGTACACGGGGTAAGGAGCTAAAGGCAACCAAACTGTAAAAATAATCCAGGCAGCAGAGGGGAGTTAAACTGAGCTGCCCCTGCATTGAGAGGGTGGCTGTTAATAATATTGGTGCATCTTAACAGGCTTGAAAAGCCCAGCATGCATGAAAAGTGGGGAGAAGACAAATAGTGTCGTTACTCAGTGTGCAAACACACCCTGCACTTCTACAGTTGACTTTCTGTTCCTGGCAGGGCATTTTCTCACAAGCTGAAGACACACTTAGATCACTGCTGTTTGAGGCCTGAAAGTTAGACCTCTTTTCATTGCTCTCCTTGGCCTTGCTATTCCGTGGGCTGAAGGAGGAGCAGCAAAGGGGTTGTTAGGCTTTGTTACACTCCAGCCTTCTCCAGGCTGAGCTGGTGAGGAGGTGCCCAGCGAGGCTGGGAAGCGCTGTGTGGATGCAGGCAGCCATCGGGAGCTCTCTTTGGCCAGGCTCGGTGCAGGCTGCCCTTGGAGCAGCTTGTTATTGTGCACTGGAGATGTTTTTGGCACTACTGGCCAAGCGGGCCAACAGATTGTAAGTAATTTTTGTAGAACAAATCTGATTACTCCAATTATTACAGAGTTAGCGCTCATGCAAAACTAAGTCTATGAAAAAAACCCTGACCACCTAAGGCTAAGAAACAAAGAGGAAAAACAAGATTAAGATGAATTAGTGCAGGTCAGTTCCCTTGTTTCACCGGTGTGGAAAGCAGGTACATGTGATGTCTAAAAACAAGCTGTCTTTTGGTGTGGTTTCCGAGGGAAATGGGGCACTCTGCAGTGCCAGGCCCATCTGCTGGGCACTCACTCCTCCCTGCTCCTGTGTCCTCACCCCATCCCTTCACACACAAACTCCTCACCCGATGGCTGCCTCTGCCCACTGGAATTTACACTGCTCAAAGGTGAATGCAAGTTTTCCTGGGATGGAAATGCCATGGAAGTCGAGTTCAGTAACTGGGTACCCATCCTGTTTCGTGTCCTCTCTGCTCCCTCAGTACTTGTGCCGTTGCAAAAGCACCGTGTGGGGTCCCACTCCTCAGTGACTTGATGGATACGGGGTTCTCTTGGGGGCAGGAGGATGGAGGGCACAAATTCTCAGGAAATTTTTTCTCAGGAAAAAATTCCGCTTGTCTTAGAAAAAAGCTTTTGAAAATTAGCCTAGAAACATCCAGATGGTAGAGAACCTCCTGCTGAGGCAGAGCACCGGGTTGTCACCCGGTGCAGTAGCGTATCCTTCGGGAATCAGTACAGTCCGCTTTGGAAAATTTTTCTCAGGAAAAAATTCCGCTTGTCTTAGAAAAAAGCTTTTGAAAATTAGCCTAGAAACATCCAGATGGTAGAGAACCTCCTGCTGAGGCAGAGCACCGGGTTGTCACCCGGTGCAGTAGCGTATCCTTCGGGAATCAGTACAGTCCGCTTTGGAAAACTCTGTTTCAAATAAAGTGAGTGAGTTGCTTGTGTTCTCTTGTGTAAGTTTTATAAAAATAAAACTGCTTTAAAGGGCTAAATATCCACGCCTTCACATCTCTTGTATTTTGTTGCAGGTGCTAGAAGCATTTGCTGGACGCCTGATTAAAATTGGAGTTTTAGCGAAGCGGGATGTTCCCAGCCTGACAAAGTACCAGCTCATTCTGGCAAGAGATCAGTACAGGAAAAACCCCTCTTCCCAGCCTGTGGTACATGCCTTTATTTTTGTCAGTCAGGTTGACGGTTGGACAAGATGATCTTTAAGGTCCCTTCCAACCTAGAAGATTCTGTGATTCTGTGATTTCACGTTACTAAAGCAGAGTAATACTCCATAGTGGACAAAGTTTCTTGATACATTTCAAGTTAGATTTCCTTTGTAACATTCTATCTATAGCCCCGGAATAAAATATGTCCACTTGCTCCGTGTTTCTTAATGCTAATGTAGGAAAGTTAAGGAAAAGAGTCAGAATTCCGTTTCCAAACTGAAATTGTTTGGAGAACTTAAACTGTAATTACGGACTGCCAAATTTACACTTTCCCCTCAAAACTACATTACTGCACCTATTTTTTCTGTAAATTCCCATGGAGTCTTCCAATTTTGCAAACTTAAAAAAGGAATAATACCTAAAAATAAATAAATACATAAAAGATGTGTACCCTGAAAAGCCCCTTGGGCCGTACAGGTCTCAGCAGCGAGCGGGCTTTCCTGCCTTAAATGTTGTAGCCTGGGCAGAGGTGCCAGAAACGTTGCCAAACACTGATGGATGGTTCAGATTTTGAGTGTTGCTGCATCAGAAAGCAATGAGCTAATCTTGGAAGAGAATACAGGTGTTTGGGAGATGGTTTTGAAGGTGGAAAAAGGTTGTTGATCATTAAGAACTGTGGAACCTGAAGGTCTGATGGCGGGGCGTTATTTGTGCTTCGGCTCTGCTTCTCAGATGTCAATCTTATTTTTATCATAAGAATTGCAGTGTGATTCCTGCTGATTCTAGACTTCCTCATTTAATGATGACTGTTTTGCTTTACAGGCAGTACATCAAGGCATAATTGAAGGAGATTTTGCACTTTGTATCAGTTTATATCATGGGTACGAGCTGCTGCTGCAAATGGGGTTACGGTCGTTGTTTATCTACCTCTTCGGAATTATGGATGGACCAAAAGGTGAAATGTCTTCAGAAATGTTTTTCCTTTGTCTCCACTCCGTCTCATTTAATTTACCTCATCTGTATGGCTAGTTTTGCACAAAACAGCTTATATAATGCATGGTTTGCAAATGTAATTGGTATTTTTTTCCCCTTCATCACTATTGGAAATACGTTGGCACGATGTTAAAGATAGAGTATACGTGGGAAAGCAAATGTGTTTATATGGCAGCAGTTCCAAAAAGAATAAGGCACAAACAGAACACAGAGTAAGTGACAGTAATATCTCTGGGGAGACAGAGAATTACCATTAAACAGTTTAAACTAAGAAAGTTGTTTGGTCTTGTAAAGCAATTCCTTCCCCTCCAGCAGTACCCCTGCATGTGTGAGTTTGAAGGACCTTTCCCAGATTGCAGATGTGGACTCGCCACACCAGGATGGCTCTCCTAGCTGTGCAACGCCTCCTGTGCTCACTGAGCACAATGGAAAGCTGTTTTCTCTTCTGGCCTCAGCTTATTTTCCCAATTCTATCACTATTGTGAGGCCTTTGCAACTCTCCCCAGTGGTTTTCAGAGCCATGAGGTGGTCACTGCTGCCAGTATGACCTGGTTTGGTACTGACATCTTTGTTGAGGGGGAAAATTTCCACCTGGAACGTTAGTCCAACAGCAAGTGTCTTCTAAACACGGGGTGTGGGAGGGTTCCAGCAGTTCCCCTTCCCCCATGGGGTGCCTCTCGGGGCTCTGGCTTCATTTTGGCTTCCACTTTGCTGTGTAACTGTGGGGTAATGGGCAAAAGCTGCTTTGCCTATAGCACTGCTTTATTCAAATGACACCACCTTGCTCTACGGCTGAACCAGAAGCTTGTGAAGTGCTTGCTTCATATTAGAGAATAGCTGTAGAATATATTTTTATAGTACACATGTGCTAGTAATTTCTCATTAATTTTATTCTTTTGAGATTTTTGCAATTTATTACTTTCACACGTGCAGATTTTTACATTTCTGATGGTGTAGTGCTGCTCTTAGACCTGGGCACTGGAGAGCATTTCATCTGTTGCCTAGTTTCTCAGATTCCTTAAATCCCTGTCTGCTACTGACTAAAGTAGAACATTTGAATGGAATAGAATATTTCAGTTGGAAGGGTCTTACAATGATCATCTGGTCAGCTGTCTGAAAGAGGACTGATGGGTAAGAGACCTAATAAATAGGTCTTCTGTGCTGGTTCTGCTAAGTTTGATTTATGGTTTGAATAAAACAAAATTGCTTTCAACATTGATACAAAATCATTTAAGAAACTTGCTAATTCTAGCTTTTTGTCTAGATTTCTTTCTCTTTGGTTAATGGGCAGCACTTCATAGACTCACAGAGTGGTTTGGGTGGGAGGGGACCTTGAAGACCATCCAGTGCCACCCTCTGCCCTGGGCAGGGACACCTCCCACCAGACCAGGTTGCTCCAAGGCCCCTCCAACCTGGCCTTGAACCCCTCCAGGGATGGGGCAGCCACAGCTTCTCTGGCCAACCTGGGCCAGGCTCTCACTGTCCTCAATGTTTCTGGACTGGATGCCTTTTCTAGTACTAAATGGTTGATGTGAAACTCTTTAATTTACCCAAAGGACCAGGATTTGGTTTATACACGTGTTTTTCACGTTTCAATTCATGTTTTCATGTTTAAATTCTATAATGGCATCTTCCCTGAAAAATACTGATGCCAAACAATGTGTATGCTATTTTCTAAAGCTACCATGTATCTTCCAGCTCTTGAGATGAGCTTGCCAATTCTGAGAAAGCTTGTCTTTTGGATAGCAGAAATTATATTCACTCCAGAGATTAAATACTGAGATATTTCAACTTTTTACAAAGGGTTAACCCGTACGAAGAATGAACTTGGTCGTAACGAGGACTTCATGAAGCTGTATCAGCAGCTCAGGGACATGTTTGCAGACACGCTGCCTTCAGCCAATGGAAGTGTTTACAAGAGTACAACAGGTCAGTATTGCCCTTTCAGGGATGGAATATTTGCCTTGTGTTTAAATGAAACAGTAGATACCTCTACATAGTGTGTAAATGCAGAAAGGTCTTCATTGTGGTACACTCAACTAGTGCTCTTTATTCCAGATTGTTTTCCCCAGACTCTTATTTATTTACCTGTCTGTTTTCTTTCAGTGGTTTTAGCTGCCTTCAAACAAGTTTTCTATGTTTGAAGTTTTTAGTTTGATTTTAAAAGAGTGGTTAAAATATTACTGTTTGACTTGATATCTTTGACAGCGTGAATGCAACAAAAATAACAACACTTTCTCAAAACCTGGGCTTAGCAAATGTGCTTCCCTAAGTAGTTTACTAGTTTGCTTAGGTGAGCGCAGTTAAGACAGGGTCAGGAATTTGTATGGCTGACTCAAAGAATTATAGCGGGAGGAAATGAAAGTCACTTGTAAGCAAAACTGCAACAGTTTTAATGGCTTTATTTCCTTTTCAGTGTTGGAAAATAAAAAGGAATTTATCTACAGCCATCCAAAATTAAGGAAATTGGAGGAAATTGTAATAGGACACTTCAAATCCTGGAAACAGGGATCTTCTGGTAAGTACCGACAACTCAGAGAAATAAGCAATAACCCCAAACCTGTGTTTCTGCCCTTAGTGACTGAATAGAATCCACACCCATGTCCTTATTTCTCGCTCCTCCAGACAAGAATTTGTCATGAATCTGTCAGTAAAAACTTCAGGACTTATTAAGATTCCAGCCATAATCACCTGTATCTTTTGGTCCATCAGAAGGCTCTGAAACAAAAGCCTAAATCATTATGTGAGCAGTGAAAAACACATCCAGCATTTGTGTCAGGAACTCACTCAGGCAGGTGTGTGGTATCTCCAGGGGAAAATAAAACACAGAGGCAAATACACCCTCTGAACTTAACTCTGCTTTGTTCTGTTGCTGAACTACTCTGAATCCTAATTTACTGTGTTCGTGCCTGTGCAATTTTTAAAACAAATATCTACTCCTGCAAAACATTTCCCTTGAGAAGCCCTACATTTGAGGCAGAAAAGTATTAATAACGTAGGTGACTAGCCATATCAGAACAACACTAGCTCTGGTTCCTCCGTTGGAAGTGGGAGCTCTCCCCTGAGAAGTGTGGAGTGGTGCTGAGTTCCTGTGCCACCCAGCCCCCTTTCTGAGCAGCGACCAGCCGGGCGAAGGCTGAGTTTCCCAGCCACGTGGCTGTTGCCCTGGCTGTGCAATTACCAGCAATTCAGGTAAGTGCAAGATAAGGTTCTGGGCAGCCCCTAAGAAGAGTTGGCTGAGCATAATGAGCTTCTCTGCGCTAATCTTCCATACCTGGATTACTCCTCAGATTGATTATGGGCTGCTCGTGGCTTGAATTTTCTCAGGCTGGTGTTGGAGAAGGTGAAGGAGGTGATGGCAGCAATGTAACATTTTTTTACAATACAGGGACAGATGCTACTGAGCATTATTGTTATTTGAATCATGGGAATATGCTAAAAATAGATACAGAATAATGTTCAGAATAAAGTCAGTGGGGGAGGATAATATGAACTCGTGTACGTGAGATGCATCCAGCCTGCACTGCAGTCCTTTCAGAGAATCTCTTTTTTAGCATACCGGGTTTTCACTCTGGAGTGTGTTTTGTTGTTGGTTTATTGTCTGGATGGGATAAACAGGAGGTGGCTGTGTAAGACTTGCATGTTCCTTAGGCAACTTTTGCTTGTACTCATGAAGGCAGGTACTCTTAAATGTTTTAAAAAAAGAAGAAGAAAAAAAAAAGTTGAGTACCCAGAAGATAAAACCGTGATGGTGTAATGTAAGAAATGTGGGTTTGGTCAAAGGCAATTATTTTTCCCTTTTCTTTGAAAAAAGGAGATGTTATCTTTGCTATAAATGAGGGCTCTAACCAGGTGTGATGACAGGTCATTCACAAGCAACAGACTGTGGTATTAAGGGAAGTTTTCACACGTTTCTGCTGTCATGAGGATCCTGAGCTGTGGAAGTAGAGACAACGTGCTGTAGTAAATCATAGGAAGTTGGTAAACATGTCTCTTATTCCACCCTGCTGTGTCCTAGGCTAATGGTGACAGTGGTTTTTATGGCTATGTATTGCTAACCTCACCTCACTCTTGGCATTTGAGAACCAGATTTAAAAATCCCATTGTAGGCTCTTTGGAAGAAGGCATCTTAAGCTTAAATAAAGTTTCAAAGACATCTGCCATCAAATCTGAGCCTTTCAAAGTGACATTAGTAATGGTGCCTCAATGGTAGGGTGTTTTCCCCAGAGTTATTGTAACTTCTCCAAAATTAGAATTTTGCTTTGATTCCAGAGAGGAATTGTTTGAGCAGATGCATCTCGGAGCATTTTCTTGGAAGTTGGCCTAAATAGGTTGAGAGGCTCCTAATTGTCAGTTTTCCCTACTGTTGTTTTTTATTCATTTATTTGCTTAATTTCTTTAAAAATGAAATTTCTTTTAAAGAAAATTTCTTTTGAAAAAATCAAAATGCAGTACACTTGGACAGAACCTTCCCGTTAGGTGGGATGAGAGCTGTGAATGTGTAGCTTATGCGATGACCCGTCCTTGCTTTTTTATTGATAATTATTTTAAAATTCTGCATAAAATTTTGTTCTGGCTTTTTGAACTGCAGCAGATGAGGTGAGGGCCGAAAGCCCGTGCGTGGAGGCTGTGGGTACCAGGGTGATGATCTTCTCCTCCTTCCGAGACAGCGTGCAGGAGATCGCGGACATGCTGTCCCGCCTCAGCCCCGCCGTGCGGGTCATGACCTTCGTTGGCCACTCCACAGGAAAGAGCACCAAGGGCTTCACACAGAAAGAGCAACTCGAGGTAAAGAAAAGATGAGAATTGTATTAGGAAACAGTGACAAAGAGCATTAATTGTATAAATAGCTGTCTGAGGAGTGACAGATATTGTGTGGCAGTGACCACACGGCCTCAAGTTGCCCCAGGGGAGGTTCAGGCTGGATATTAGGAAAAATTTTTTCACTGAAAGGGTTCTCAGCCATTGGAATGGGCTGCCCAGGGAGGGGGTTGAGGCACCATCCCTGGAGGTGTTCAAAAGATGGGTTGATGTAGTGCTGGGAGGTCTGGTTTAGTGATGATGCTCCTTGTTTGTTGTGTGGGTGTCTATTTTTGTCAGTCAGGTTGACGGTTGGACAAGATGATCTTTAAGGTCCCTTCCAACCTAGAAGATTCTGTGATTCTGTGATTCTGTGACCACACTCCAAAATGTCATTACTTAATTCCTGTGTAGTTCAGTTGCTTTCAGAGTATCCAAAATTATACTCATTGAACAGAACGTAGAATTACAAATATTTTATACGTTTACATTATGTTAACAAATGATAACCTGTATATATCTGAAAATCTGGGGAAATATTCAAATACTTGCTTAGGGAGGTTATTTTTTTTCTTGTAGGCAGAACAAATAAGATCTGTTCTTAAACTTTGGTCTAGCAAAGTTTTAAAAAAATAATTAAAATGTAATTGCAAAGTTGGGAAGATGAATTTTAGAAGAATGGCATGGTTGGAGTCAGAATAAGGTGTGCTTTTTTTCCTTTCTTTGAGAATTGAAGATTTGGTATGTTGATGTTGGTAACACTAGTGCATGGTATTTGATCGCGATGAATTAGCTGACGAATTCAGGATGACTGAGCTTTGTAGCTTTAAAATATAAATCAATTATTTCTATCTTCTGTCTGGAAGAACGACGGAGTGTGTACAGGGGGCTTTCTGACTAACCTGTTAAATCTGATTGTAATCACTCACTCAGGTGGTCAAACGCTTCCGTGAGGGGGGGTATAACACCCTGGTCTCTACCTGCGTGGGGGAAGAAGGCTTGGACATCGGGGAGCTGGATCTCATCGTCTGCTT